TCACATTTTTTATTTGGCCCGGGGTGCGTTTGCACCCCCGCACCCCGGGCCAGTCCGGCCCTGAACTAGAACTAATGTAACGTACCTACTTTATCCTGTTTTAATAAAAAAACATATAAAACAACAATTTTTTTTACATAATTCTACAACGGACGTCCCGCTTTGACAAAAGAAAATATGGTCACTCTAAGTAAAAGGCAAGAAAGATTTAGAAAATAAAATAAAAAAACAACACCAGAACAAATAATAGTTGGAATCAGTAAATTAAAAGGACTAAGTAATGGAAGAGTAGCTATAACGTGTGAGAATGAAAAAGACAGAGCCATACCAAAACAAGAAATGGAGGCAAAAAATTCAGATGATATCAGAATTTATGAAACTAAAGAAAGAAACCCTCAGATTAAGTTAGTAGGATTAGAAGAACAATTTGAAAATGATAAAGTAAAAAGCCTAATCTTAAACCAGAATAAACTAAAAGACAAGGAATATATTAAAATAAAGATTGAAACGGTATATAAAGCTAGGAAAAATTATTCAGCCATAAATTACTACAAATTCATTTACTTTTCAAAAAATAATGCTTAAGAAAAAACTAAAGATTGGTTNCTAAAGAAAGAAACCCTCAGATTAAGTTAGTAGGATTAGAAGAACAATTTGAAAATGATAAAGTAAAAAGCCTAATCTTAAACCAGAATAAACTAAAAGACAAGGAATATATTAAAATAAAGATTGAAACAGTATATAAAGCTAGGAAAAATTATTCAGCCATAAATTACTACAAATTCATTTACTTTTCAAAAAATAATGCTTAAGAAAAAACTAAAGATTGGTTGGTCACTGTGTACGGTTTATGAACGCTGAAGTATTATGCGTTGCTAAGTGCGATGGCTATAACCATAAGTCAACCACGTGTACAAATAACTTAAGCTGTGGTAAATGTGGTGATGAAAATCGTAATGCAAAGCAATGTGAAAATGACCACACGTGCTGCATTAATTGCACAATAATTAATAAAAAATTAAATCTGAATTTGGACACTAACCACACAATATATGAAAGAACTTGTACCGTCTATCTACAAAAAGTAGAGAAATACAAAAAGAGGACTGGGTACATACCGAGACAATAACAACCAATGACAAACAATGAGAAAATTTATGTACAGATTGCACAGTGTCATTGCAAATTTTGATGAAATAAAAAATTTTTTAGTTACCCAAAAACCCGTATGTATATGCCTAATAGAAACTCATGTAACTAAAGAAATTGATGACACAAAAATATCCATCGACAACCATAATGTTTACAGAGTAGATTCTACTAGTCGAGCTACGGGAGGAGTGCTTATTTATACCAGAAAAGACATAAAAAATAAATTCATTGGAAGGTATACACAGAAAATGAGTTATTGGGTTATGTGATTAATATAGTAGTTAACAAAAGTGAAATAATTCTGGATTGTCTATATAGATTACCTACCTACTGCATCAAGCGCTACGTTTTGTGATTTCTTCAGTGATTGGTTAGAAGACTTATTAGAAGGTGTTAAAGGTTCGCTATTGATATTACGAGACTTTAATATAGATTATGAGGCATTGGGAACCTATTCAAAGAAACTGAAAAATATAGTGCTAAATAATGGATGCAAACAATGTGTTAAAGGTCATACACACATATCACCAAGTCGTAGTAGTAGTCTAATCGATTTAGTTATAAGTAATGACAGTACAAATATAGCAGTAAATGTGTTAGATAAACCAAATTTTAATAATCACTTGTTAATTAGTATTACATTAGATACAACCAAAGATC